TATTTTTTCCAAATTCGTCATTAGAGCACGTGTAAGTTTTCGCACGACTTCGACTTGGAATCCCTGGCCCACACCTTGCTTAACAGTCCCTTCACCCGGAGACTGGTAGAAGTTCGGGATCCTCTGTATTTTTTGAACGTTGGTCCGCAGTTTCCCAATGGTGACTTGGAACGTTTCCGCATCGATGAAGATCTGGTCACTCCATGTTCCGGTGGTTGGTCCAACTTCAATCGTATCTGCGTAAGTATGCCAACCAGTAATTCGTCCACATTGTAGTTGATTATTACCGACGTCTCTATGAACTTGCAGTCATACCGAGTGGCCATTTGTTTTCCAACTAAAAAAACATTTGTAGTGAACAGATATTTGAATTAGTTATTTAATTATCAAAACGTGGTCTTTTTTTTTARTAAAAAACACAACGAGTCACCGATGAGGGTCATTGTAATATTGTAAATATAAAAGCGGCGATCGTCATGGGTCATGTACTCATGTGATTATTAATACTAACTTAATATTAGAGGGAATATGCGGATTTGGACGGACATCACAAGTATATTGTCAGTTTGTTTATTAATATAAGTAGGTACATTTTAATTTCTTCTTGAATTAGTAACATATTATTATGTTAGATCAGCATGATCTGTTCAAAAACAGTAGTTTAAACAATATTATTGTAACATTACACGAAATCATATTAAATCCAATAGGGGATTTGTCATCGTACTAAAATGTTTATCGTTTACGAAACTTGATTTTCTTTATATATTCTGAAATGAAATTTGAAATTTATACTAGAACTGATATATTTGATTAGATAAAAATGTAAAGTTTTATACCTACGGTAATTATTATTATAATTTAGACTAATTACTAATTTTGTATGCATTTTTGGACGTCTAGATTTAGATAAGTAATCTAGTTGTTTAATGTTTGATTCATTTTTATTTACATAAATACAACCTAAATCCTGTAAACTTCAATATTTTATGTGATGCAATAAAAGGGCTACAATATTGTTGTTATTGATTTGCTTTGTAATTATATAGTTAGTGCACTTGTGATATCCCAATATGAGACTAATTGGCAGTTAGAAACTGTTTATTTATATCGACATTCAATACAGTCTCTGAAACGGTAAATATTATTGTGTGAGTKAAAATAAATAAATAAAAATAATGGTCCTTTAGCATACATATGTCACATACTACCTTACATAATAAATCGATAGCACGGTCGATACAATACTGACTAAACTCAGGGAAATAAAAAATACAATTTTAAACTATCAAGGCCCGAATCTCAGCAGGAGAGAAAAAATTATGATCAATCGTCTCCGAATAGGACACACAAGGCTAGCTCAAAAGTTCCTTATGGCCCAAGACGAGCCCCCTCAATGCACAGTCTGTGGGGTTACCCTAACAGTAAAACATATAATAACAGGGTGCTACCAATATTCCAACGAACTCAGCGAATTCAACATTCCAACCAACATGAATGAAGCATTAGGACCAGCTGACCAGGCATCGAAAACATCGCAGATATGTTAGCTTTCCTAAGAAAAACCGACCTATGCAATAAAATTTAAACCTTTCGCTAACGATAACCAATAACCATAATACTAATGTTGGTGGAAATCACACAAAATTAATACCATTATAATTGTATAATTTTAGTTCATTCATTATGTAATAAACAAAAAACTAATAACCTTTATTGTTGATGTTTTTAAGTTCAATAAAAAAATAAATAAATCGATAGAATAAAAATATAAAACGAAATATTTATTGTATATATATATATATATATAATTATTTAGAATTTTTATTAATGTAAAATATTACTATACCTCCTGATGGCACGATGTTTGGTCTTACGATATCGTTTTTGTTACCGACTAATATCACAGCTTTATTTCTGACTACATCTGCTTTCCACAAAGCTTGCAGCCATTCTTCGGCTTGTTTGAAGCTGTCCCAATCATTTCTTGAGTAGATAATACAATAGGCATGTGGAGACTCTTCAAACACGTCATTGCAATCGGCTGGCTGCAAACATATTTTATTGTGATTTGTGTTACATTATTTCTTACATAGGTAATGATTTATCCATTATATTATAATTTATATTATATTACATTATGGTTATATATAACCAATTACCATACATACGAGATGTAGTATTTTGACAATTGGTGTTTGTACAGTTTAATTGATTAAAAAGTAACGATGAAAGTTTCAATGAAGTTCTTCAAATCTAGTAAGTTGTTTGATATTTTTCAACAAAATGGATTGATTTTTAACACWTTTTATTTAAATATTTCTTTTTAAATACATCATTTGTTTTTAACTTTGGGATAATTAAACGATAATTTTGCACTTCACAGGATATGATAATATATTATATTATTTTACTCATATGTGCCAGTTGGGGTACACTTCTATCAATCAAATACATTAATGCTGTTTCTATGAAATGGACAAACGAGAAGCTGGCGTATCAAATATCATGTCGGAAGTTTTCCATCCAGAAATCCAGATACAATATGTCACATGATAACCTTTTTAATTAAAACCAATTTTATAAATAGTTTATAATTTGTTCTTATTTATACAATATGTAAATGTTGTATCCTTAAAAATTGTTAACCTTAAATAACTCCTTGTACACCAATGGCCATAGACTCTGAGATTTATTTATTTAAATTAAAAAAAAAGCGGGAAAGTGGACGTCGCTCTGCTGTACAGTAGGTTACAAGAAGTGGGTTACTGTAATGGATGGAATTAAATTTGAATCCAAGGATATTACATCATTGTATACGAAAAACGATTCTGATCGAAGACGGTTTATCTGTCTAGGATATATATAATAGATTATTAAAAATTTTTAAATCTTAGATTAAAAAAGAAAAACTTTTATGAATTTTCTAGCTTAAAATAATTTGCGAATTTTCGTGATTTTTACGTATGTTGTCAAAATTCAAAATTTGAACGCTTGTAAAAAAAAATTGTGCCTATAATTTCTTTTATTTTTCAACTGCTATTGTAAAAATATTTTAGAAGCCTTGTATTAAATTTTCAAATCTTGGATATAAAAGAAAATATTTTTATGAATTTCTAGCTTAAAATTGCAAATTTTCGTAATTTTTACGTATGTTGACAAAATTAAAATTTGATTGCTTGTAAAAAAAAATTGTGACTATGTATTTCTATTATTTTTCAACTGCTATTGTAAAAATATGTTAAAAGCCTTGTATTTATTTTTCAAATCTTAGATATAATAGGAAAAAATTTTATGAATTTATATCTAAGATAATTTGAACATTGCCGTAATTTTTACGTGTTTAGTCAAAATTTGAACTTCAAATGCTTATAAAAATAAAATCGTGCCTATGTATATTTAATATTTTATAACTGCTATTGTTACAATGTGTTAGAAGCCTTTTATTAAWTTTTTAAGCTTTTCTACCCAACAAATAAATGTTTATCGATATTTATAGAAAATAAAAAACTAAAAAAGTTGAAAAATTAAAATGTAAGTAAACAGCTCAAAACAAATCAAAATATTTTGAAAATTTTATAAAATATATAGAATGCCTATATAAACATTCAGTGAAAATTTCAAGTATCTGCAGTCATTTTTTTTAGAGTTACACCAAAATAAGAAAATCACTAAATGTGATATCTTGTGAAAATCCTAAGTTGTAAAAATTTAA